TTGCGTCCAAAGCCAGCTCGAGGCCCTTTCGGCTGCCTCGCCCACTTTTTTAAGTGTTCGTTTTCGTTCATTACCGCGCAATCCTAGTTCTTCAAAGAAGGAGAAGAAGGAGAAGAAGAAGCTTACGGCGGACCTACGTGCCTATTGGCTGAATGGCACTGCGATACACAGTTGCAGACGTGGCGTTTGGTCAGCCGGTGGCCCAGTGCCAGGCGTATAGCCTCCTTGAGGACATCACCTGCCTCTTACCCAGCAAGCATAGTGCTTCCCTAGGAAGCTTGGTGCTTCCCCAGCAGGTATGGTGCTTGCCTAGCAGGCATGGTGCTTCCCTTGCAAGCATGGAGCTTCCCCAGCAGGCATAGTGCTTCCCTTGCAAGCATGGAGCTTCCCCAGCAGGCATGGTGCTTCCCTATGCTTCCTGCACTGAAATAATATTTTCTATGGATTTTGTGCTTAACAATAAAAAAGAAACATCACCGGAACTACGGAGTGCGTGCTCTGTTTTTGATACTATCTTCAGATGGCAACGCAGAGAGCGGGAAAAGGAGAAGACAAGGGAATGGACGGAGACGAAGGCATAGAAATATGAGAGCGGGAGCGTGGAGTTTGGAGGAAAACGCAGCGTCAAAGATTAAAGCATATTAGAGTGGGTTACTGGGACTGCAGCTGGCATATTAGAGTGGGTTACTGGAACTGTCGCTGGCATATTAGAGTGGGTTACTGGAACTATCGCTGACATATTAGAGTGGATTACTGGAACTGTCGCTGGCATATTAGAGTGGGTTACTGGAACTGTCGCTGACATGTTAGAGTGGGTTACTGGAACTGTCGCTGGCATATTAGAGTGGGTTACTGGAACTGTCGCTGGTATATTAGAGTGGGTTACTGGAACTGTCGCTTAATATTAGAGTGGGTAACTGGAACTGTCGCTGACATATTAGAGTGGGTTACTGGAACTATCGCTGACATATTAGAGTGGGTTACTGGAACTGTCGCTGACATATTAGAGTGGGTTACTGGAACTGTCGCTGACATATTAGAGTGGGTTACTGGAACTGTCGCTGACATATTAGAGTGGGTTACTGGAACTGTCGCTGGCATATTAGAGTGGGTTACTGGAACTGTTTATGACATATTAGAGTGGGTTACTGGAACTGTCACATTAGAGTGGGTTACTGGAACTGTCGCTGACATGTTAGAGAGGGTTACTGGAACTGTCGCTGGCATATTAGAGTGGGTTACTGGAACTGTCGCTGGTATATAAGAGTGGGTTACTGGAACTGTCGCTTAATATTAGAGTGGGTTACTGGAACTGTCGCTGACATATTAGAGTGGGTTACTGGAACTATCGCTGACATATTAGAGTGGGTTACTAGAACTGTCGCTGACATATTAGAGTGGGTTACTGGAACTGTCGCTGACATATTAGAGTGGGTTACTGGAACTGTCGCTGACATATTAGAGTGGGTTACTGGAACTGTTTATGGCATATTAGAGTGGGTTACTGGAACTGTCACATTAGAGTGGGTTACTGGAACTGTCGCTGGCATATTAGAGTGGGTTACTGGAACTGTCGCTGGTATATTAGAGTGGGTTACTGGAACTGTCGCTTAATATTAGAGTGGGTTACTGGAACTGTCGCTGACATATTAGAGTGGGTTACTGGAACTATCGCTGACATATTAGAGTGGGTTACTGAAACTGTCGCTGACATATTAGAGTGGGTTACTGGAACTGTCGCTGACATATTAGAGTGGGTTACTGGAACTGTCGCTGACATATTAGAGTGGGTTACTGGAACTGTTTATGGCATATTAGAGTGGGTTACTGGAACTGTCACATTAGAGTGGGTTACTGGAACTGTCGCTGGCATATTAGAGTGGGTTACTGGAACTGTCGCTGACATATTAGAGTGGGTTACTGGAACTGTCGCTGACATATTAGAGTGGGTTACTGGAACTGTCGCTGACATATTAGAGTGGGTTACTGGAACTGTCGCTGACATATTAGAGTGGGTTACTGGAACTGTTTATGGCATATTAGAGTGGGTTACTGGAACTGTCACATTAGAGTGGGTTACTGGAACTGTCGCTGGCATATTAGAGTGGGTTACTGGAACTGTCGCTGACATATTAGAGTGGGTTACTGGAACTGTCGCTGACATATTAGAGTGGGTTACTCGAACTGTCGCTGACATATTAGAGTGGGTTACTGGAACTGTTTATGGTATATTAGAGTGGGTTACTGGAACTGTCACATTAGAGTGGGTTACTGGAACTGTCGCTGGCATATTAGAGTGGGTAACTGGAACTGTCGCTGACATATTAGAGTGGGTTACTGGAACTGTCGCTGGCATATTAGAGTGTGTTACTGGAACTGTCGCTGACATATTAGAGTGTGTTACATTTCTTAACATTTATGTAATAAATCAGAATCATTGATTTCAGAGTGGTCTTTAATTTGGACGGAACGAAGCAGCCGCTAGAAACACTTCTATGTCAGTTTACGCACGCATGCACAAACACACACATAAGGGATCATGTAGAGACAGTTGCAGTGAAATGCCAAAAAAAAAAAAAGACTTAGTGCTCTTAAGATTTAGCCAGCAATGGACATGGAACAAAGAATGTTGTTCATAATGTTCCAGCATGTAATCCTAGCAGTAATAGATTATGGGCTTGGAATGCTTACCATATCAAAGAATCAACTTAGGAATCTTGAACGGACAAGGAATAAAGCCATGCGGGTAATTCTTTGATGTACAAGATACCGCGGTAGTATGTATGCGATATATACGTGCACTTCCCACTGTTGCAGAAAGGCTCAATGTTCTGCAAGCAAAGTCAGATCTCAGAGTAGCTGCAGACAAGAGGCACCTCCTGCATGAAACCCTGGATGGAGCTAAGGGTCACAGACTGAAAAGAGGAAGGTCTTGGATGGCGCACGACGCAATTAGACATTTGTGCAGGCTTCATAAATGTGGGCAAGGAGAGGAGGGGGTAATAATGATGTCTGAGCAAGAATCATTATTGTGTAGGGTTCTAATCACTTTAGGTTGTGAGTGCATGGGCTCGCCAGCTGGTGCTGCAGGATCAGATGTTCCACAAAATTCACGACAATACCCGTCCATGTGATGTGATTATCTATGCAGACGGTTCTGTGTTGAGAGGAGAGGAAGTGCATAGATGTTCAAAGCAAAAGCGAATGGACTTCGCTTAGTGCAACAAAGCCTGGTATATGATATCAGAACGTCTAGTTGCCTTCCTTCGACCTGAGATCAGCTGTATACACACGCCGTCATTGTTACCGACTCACACAGTATGTTGAGAAAGGTGGAGACATGTATGCTCCGTGCAGAGTGGCAAGCATCGCTGCAGAGGTCCCGAGTAGTTAGCTAGCTATTTTCTCCAGGTCATGGTGGTGTGTTGAGAAACGAGCAAGGAGGTAGATTGACCGGTTTTGCACCATTTGGGGGTACATTGATGTATGGCAAGATAGATGTTAGGAGCGAGAGAACAGTGCGCTGAGGCATATATATACCATTACGGTTTGAGGAAAATGTGGCTGCGAGGCGTTACCAGAGGATTTGGCTTACGCTCAACACTCAAAGGAAAGACGAGACGGACATACAATCAGACCGTTACTGGTGCCATCAGAACTGGAATACTTCACTTGCTGCTGAAGGTGGGGATGGACCGCTTATCGGGGTGTACCGAGTACTGTGATGTCGATTCCTAATTCAACATTCAACATTCTTCCTGACTGTCCACCCTCCATGTATCATGGTCTATTGTATCTTATTCACATTAATCTACACCAATACCTGTATCATTCATGTCTGACTTGCGCAGATCTTTATATCATAGTAGAGGTCAATCTCAACATCTTCTACCCATCTGTAATTCATCACAGAGTATGTTCTTCATGAGATAACTATCCCCAATCCCCCGAATGTGTCCCAGCTACGTGAACTTTCGAAGACAGCGCAACGAGAAAACTGTTCGTATTCCTGGACTTCTCAATATCTCAATGTTTGTGATCTTGCCAACCACTAAATGACAAATATATTCTTCGTAGTCATCGCATATGAAAGCTATTTAGCCGTTTCCCCTCAAAATTAAGTTTAATCACCGTCAAGAAGTGGGCTTAGAACGTAAGCTTGATAGACTACTTCTTTTGCTTTAATCGTAAGCTTTCTGATTTCCCATTTTTTCCCCCTTTTGTTTAGAGATGGAAATTTTAAAAATGTGGAGATCCCTGTGAAGGTTCCGGGGCCCTTTTGCAAGATAAACAAGAATAGACCCACTGCCTACCCAAAAGCATGTCGTAAGAGCCGACTAATTGGGAGCTTCATTCATAGTCATTGTGATCTGCCTGAGGGACAAGGAACCAACAGTCTGCATACAAATGAGTCAGATCCGTAAAACGCATTCCACCCGCAGCACTGAGGTTCTAGAACAGGACTGCAGTCTAAAAGTGGATGAACGACCAAAACTTTCCGCCAGAGTTTACAGCTGGTGAACGCGAAGAAGAAGAAAAGATAGGAAGGACAAGGGGTGCAACAGAAAACGACCTGGCGTCTGTTGGTGGAGGGTCTATGCTCCACTGGGGGATACAGGGCAGAAGAAGAAACTGCTGCTCCCCACAGTCATGTTCCAAGTCCACACCCAAAAAGTCAGGAGTGAAGCTTCCCCGCTCCTTGGCACGAAGCCTAAGCAGTTTTGTAAAGAACATGCGTTTCCAGTGTAGCCGGATGCCTCTCTCCTTGTTTACTTCAAAGTAAAAGTAACACCAATACGTTTGGATCAAGGCCTGCTGCAGAAGCTGCTGGATCAGAAGAACAGTGCTATGAACAATACCGGGTCGATCTATGAGTCCTGGTCAATTGCACACACACACACAAAAGTGTTCTTATGCCAATTCGAATCCTTGGCGTTCAGTCATGCATCTAGACCCTGCATTGAAGCAGCTCCCAGTAAACACGTACAATGCAAACTTACCATGCTCCTGGCTAACTCCAGAGCTTGACTTTCCTCTTTCAAGAATGCTCCACTTCCGGTCTTTACATCCAGCACCAGAACATTGATATTCTCTGCTGATTTTTTCGAAACTATGGATGCTAGTCATGTGGGTGGGGTACAAATAGAGAAATGTATAAAAACACATTGAACGTCATTAAAATGTCTCTATCTTTACAATGCCTTGTACTACACTATGATACACGGTCTCTGACTTGTACTATACCAGGAAACAATGTCTCTGTCCTGTACTATACCATAAAACACTGTCTCTGTCCTGTACTATACCATAAAACAATGTCTCTGCCCTGTACTATACCATAAAACACTGTCTCTGTCCTGTACTATACCATGAAACAATGTCTCTGTCCTGTACTATACCATGAAACAATGTCTCTGTCCTGTACTATACCATCAAACAATATCTCTGTCCTGTACTATACCATGAAACAATATCTGTCTTGTACTATACCATGAAACAATATCTCTGTCCTGTACTATACCATGAAACAATATCTCTGTCTTGTACTATACCATGAAACAATATCTGTCCTGTACTATACCATGAAACAATACCTCTGTCCTGTACTATACCATGAAACAATATGTCTGTCCTGTACTATACCATAAAACAATATCTCTGTCCTGTACTATACCATGAAACAATGTCTGTCTTGTACTATACCATCAAACAATATCTCTGTCCTGTACTATACCATGAAACAATATCTCTGTCCTGTACTATACCATGAAACAATATCTGTCTTGTACTATACCATCAAACAATATCTCTGTCCTGTACTATACCATGAAACATTATCTCTGTCCTATACTATACCATGAAACAATATCTGTCTTGTACTATACCATCAAACAATATCTCTGTCCTGTACTATACCATGAAACAATATCTCTGTCCTGTACTGTACCATAAAACAATATCTCTGTCCTGTACTATACCATCAAACAATATCTCTGTCCTGTACTATACCATGAAACAATATCTGTCTTGTACTATACCATCAAACAATATCTCTGTCCTGTACTATACCATGAAACAATATCTCTGTCCTGTACTATACCATCAAACAATATCTCTGTCCTGTACTGTACCATAAAACAATATCTCTGTCCTGTACTATACCATGAAACAATATCTGTCTTGTACTATACCATCAAACAATATCTCTGTCCTGTACTATACCATGAAACAATATCTCTGTCCTGTACTATACCATGAAACAATATCTGTCTTGTACTATACCATCAAACAATATCTCTGTCCTGTACTGTACCATAAAACAATATCTCTGTCCTGTACTATACCATGAAACAATATCTGTCCTGTACTATACCATCAAACAATATCTCTGTCCTGTACTATACCATGAAACAATATCTCTGTCCTGTACTATACCATCAAACAATATCTCTGTCCTGTACTGTACCATAAAACAATATCTCTGTCCTGTACTATACCATGAAACAATGACTGTCTTGTACTATACCATCAAACAATATCTCTGTCCTGTACTATACCATGAAACAATATCTGTCTTGTACTATACCATCAAACAATATCTCTGTCCTGTACTATACCATCAAACAATATCTCTGTCCTGTACTATACCATCAAACAATATCTCTGTCCTGTACTATACCATGAAACAATATCTGTCTTGTACTATACCATCAAACAATATCTCTGTCCTGTACTATACCATGAAACAATGTCTGTCTTGTACTATACCATCAAACAATATCTCTGTCTTGTACTATACCATCAAACAATATCTCTGTCCTGTACTATACCATGAAACAATATCTCTGTCCTGTACTATACCATGAAACAATATCTCTGTCCTGTACTATACCATTAAACAATGTCTCTGTTTTGTAGTAGACTGTGATCAACTGTTTCTGCCTTATAACAGACAGTTATAACATGTCTGTCTCATACTAGACCGTGAAACAATGTCTCTGTCTTGTAGTAGACTGTAATCAACTGTTTCTGCCTTGTAACAGACAGTTATAACATGTCTGTCTCATACTAGACCGTGAAACAATGTCTCTGTCTTGTAGTAGACTGTAATCAACTGTTTCTGCCTTGTAACAATCAGTTATAACATGTCTGTCTTATAATAGACCTTGAAACAATGTCTCTGTCTTGTAGTAGACTGTAATCAACTGTTTCTGCCTTGTAACAATCAGTTATAACATGTCTGTCTTATAATAGACCTTGAAACAATGTCTCTGTCTTGTAGTAGACTGTAATCAACTGTTTCTGCCTTGTAACAATCAGTTATAACATGTCTGTCTTATAATAGACCTTGAAACAATGTCTCTGTCTTGTAGTAGACTGTAATCAACTGTTTCTGCCTTGTAACAATCAGTTATAACATGTCTGACTTATAATAGACCTTGAAACAATGTCTCTGTCTTGTAGTAGACTGTAATCAACTGTTTCTGCCTTGTAACAGACAGTTATAACATGTCTGTCTTATACTAGACCGTGAAACAATGTCTCTGTCTTGTAGTAGACTGTAATCAACTGTTTCTGCCTTGTAACAGACAGTTATAACATGTCTGTCTTATACTAGACCGTGAAACAATGTTTCTGTCTTGTAGTAGACTGTAATCAACTGTTTCTGCCTTGTAACAGACAGTTATAACATGTCTGTCTTATAATAGACCTTGAAACAATGTCTCTGTCTTGTAGTAGACTGTAATCAACTGTTTCTGCCTTGTAACAGACAGTTATAACATGTCTGTCTTATAATAGACCGTGAAACAATGTCTCTGTCTTATAGTAGACTGTAATCAACTGTTTCTGCCTTGTAACAGACAGTTATAACATGTCTGTCTTATAATAGACCGTGAAACAATGTCTATGTCTTGTAGCAGACTGTAATCAACTGTTTCTGCCTTGTAACAGACAGTTATAACATGTCTGTCTTATAATAGACCGTGAAACAATGTCTATGTCTTGTAGCAGACTGTGATCAAAAATCTTCAGAAGCTGGTTTGATTCTTTATATCTTAATCAAACACGGATACTACATGTGCTCCAGCATCCAACCATTAGTTAGTTAGTTAGTTAGTTAGTTAGTTAGTTAGTTGGGTTATCATCATTGCACTCCGGACATGTCCATAGGTACTCTGATCCTCCCCTCAGTATGAACCCCAACGTCCGATGGCTAATAGTACCAGTTCTATGTTGATTAACAAGTCTTCTGGCGTGTCTGGTGTGCGTCTCGTTTTTTTTGTTTGACCGATCTTAATTCTCAAATCTGCCATTCTGGCGAGTGATGTCAATTCACTGCCACCAAAGTCCTCTATCCTTCCCATTTCTCTGAGGGCATTAAAAACTTCAGCATGATCGGCTGACCGTCGGTAGTGATAGCGGATCCAGCCAACCTATCAGTTCTTTCATTTCCATCGACGCCTGCGTGTCCTGGAACAAAAATAAAGATGACTCCACGCACAGTGGACTTATGTAATGATTCAAGCCATTGTCTTCGCACTGAACCTGCCTGAACCCTCCGGATTTTACTCATTGAATCACTGAGTATACACACGAGGGTGTAGTTTTGTATTTCAAGCCAGGCGAACGCTTGCGTCACTGCCATCACCTCCATCGTCATGCTGCTGGTTGTCATGGAGAAGGCGCCGTTGGCTTCTTTGACTGTTATGCCCGCTGAGCGTGCTGTGAATGCCTATTGATCACACAGACTTAATACTGTGTAAGACCTTCGTATCGCCCGCAACGATCCTCACGTGTAAATACCAGTCTGATATATGCTTTACCTAAACCTTCGGGTGCCAATCATCTAATTAATGCGAATTTCAGCATTCACACCGACCGTGTAATTTACTCTCAGTTATACACATCCATAAATGCACCCAATATGGGTAGCAATGTTTTGGTATTCTAAAGCCTTATCCCGGCTGTCGTTGGTGGCCTCAAATAACCTAACAGTTCAACGGAGGTTTTTTCTGCGACTTGACCGGGGGATTCTCATCCGAATGGTGGCTTTTTGTGTCACTGGGTGTTTATACTTCATTGTGCGGTCCTGCTGGGCTTGAACGACAATCAAACAGTTAGTTTACTCTAATGGCTGCAGATCTTCTGAATGGTCCCTATTGCTCATGGGAATGGGTATCTTTCGACCCACCTCAGGATCGTGTACAAAAGAATAGAAAAACAAAGCTGAGGCGGGGGTGGGTAGGGGGGTGCAAGCCCCAAATTCTCTAATTGAATGTCTATAATAAGTATCCGGACTGTGATTCGACGCCAGTGGTCTCTAGACAGACAGGCATGACGCTTCAAAGTAGTTCGGCCACTGGTAACGTTTATACACTGGTTTGTGTTTCCACATATGATATTATTACAAATAACTTCTTGGCAGTTCCGGTCAAAATGGACGTTAGGCAGCGGCACTGTTCGAAACAGAGGCACATTTTTCGCTTCTGCCGGACTGTGGCCGATGCATTTTTGCTCCATTTGTAGACTGGATATAGTTTCGTCGCCCAGCTTCTGAGGTGAATGCATGGCGTGACCCTGTGACCTGCGGATTACATTTGGAATGTTTTTTCGACTGTGACCAACGTGTTGGTGTGAATTGTAGATTCAGAAAATGGCGCGATGCCGGTCGTGCAGTGTTGTGGTGCCCGTATGTGATTAAAATTCATCGCGTGGGCAACTGCTGATCTGTTGGCGACTTCTGCTACCATCAATGATGAACTGCAATTCTAATACTGTGATAAACATTCTGTGTATTTTTCGTTGGCACAGGAGCGGAGCAAAGATGGGGGTGACCCGTTTGCTATGAAGCTGAAACTAAGACTACCAGACTACCAGACCAGATTACAAATATATCCAAACATTTGTTTTGTCACCCAGCGTATCATAACTGTTGTTTTAATTAATGGTAAGCACATAAACAAAGCCTTACTAAACTGTTACTGGTACATTTATAATTTTTACTATGCGCTGGCTGCTGAAGATAGGTATGGAGCGTTTATGGCAATATCATAGTGCTATGATATCGGTTCTCAACTCATAACTGAAATAAAGATTACAGCTTCCCACCCGCCTTTCTTTCACAATGTTTTCCTTATGGGAGTGCCCCTGGTTTCGATGTACTCCACATTGCGCCCATTCCCATGATATAACCTATAGATTGTAGATTGCTCGTTCAAATACAGGCACAAATTTATCTTTGTTAGTTTGTATCTTTTCAATACATTGTCATTACGTTCTTTTATGTGCAATGTATTTTCACCAATCTTCTATAAAATCCCATCTCTGTAGCTTCCATATTTGTTCTTACTATTTCCCTTACCTGTTATCATCCTATGTATGGAACTGTTGAGGTCATATCCCTGACTTACCTGTTATCAGTCCTATATGTTAAACTGTTGAGGTCATATCCCTGACTTACCTGTTATCAGTCCTATATGTGGAACTGTTGAGGTTACATCCCTGATACTATACATTTTCTTGTCGGCCGGACATATGTCCCCAGTCTGGCCAGCGATAAAACAGCCAACATCTTCAAGCAGCCCAATCATTTGCTGATGAGTCAGGGACACACTAAAGCCAGGAATAGACTCCAGCTTGTCCAGCGTGCCCCCTGTATGAGCCAGCCCTCTGCCGGAGATCATTGGAACCTACAGAGTGGACATTGTGAAATCACAAGCATCATACACCCTGTCAGCCCCTAGAGGAGAACAATAGGGCACATAGTTCTACTGATGAACGTTCAAAAACCTGAAGCTAACAAATCATGCTCAAAGTGGGACTGCGTAGACTCTAGGCATGGTGTCCGCCTCGAGTGCTAGAGGTTCCGGGTTCAATCCTCGGAAAGGGCAGTGAATTTTGACTTCTAGAAATTCCCCCTGGTCTCTGGGTAACGAGATTGGACGCGCGTGTTCATTGTTGCGCACGTAAAAAAAAAATAAAAAAAATTGGCAGTTGGAAATCGAAATGAGTAGCTTAACGGCGCTGCCGGGGCAAAGTTTAGAGTTAATAATCTACCCAAAGTATTTCAGGATCCTCGCTGGTGCTACAGAGCCAGTGCACTGTGCTGAGCTGCTTCGGACTCAGACTTGAATTAGAAGAAGAACGGAGCACTTATGGGTTAAACCCGTGTGCCATGATGTAGATCTGTTGTTCAAAACCTCATGCTCAAACATTTAAGAGAATGGGGTGACAGTCTCTGTCGGTTGCCTCCCGCTGCAAATGATGTGTGCTGCTGTCACAGACTGCACAAGTGCACGTTTTGCAGAGATTCCTGGGGACTGTCGCTGGAGCTACACAATGACTGCTCTATGCAAAGCTCTCAGGGAAGTGCTTGCGGTTTTCCTGGGAGATACGAACTTATATGGGATACAATCAGGAGCAAAAGTTAATTCTCTCGATGATACAAATTTAGAGAAGGGATTAGCACATATGAAGCCCAACCTTACCCATAGTCATCTCCTAACATTGCTTGACAGGCTGCAGTGGTACTTACTTCTGTGTTTCCCATGAGCAGTTCAAGAGAATGCAGGAGTAAGAGTTAGAGGATACAATATAAACAATATGCGTTATGCAGGCGATACAGTTTTGATAGCTGAAAATGCAACTGATTTACAACAACTGCTGGATATTGTGGGGATGGAGAGTGCTAAGAAAGGACTTAACTGTCATTAAATGTTAGGAAAACGAAAGTAATGGTTATATCAAAGAAGAAGATAACACCATATGTAACTAAAATGGTCCTGCCTTGAATGCTGAGATTTGAGTCTGCACTCAGATGAACCCATACAATATGGATAAAAACCAAAGTTAACCATATGCATCATGGAAACAGTTTTTCTGAGACAGGAATCGATATTCAGGACAAAATTAAAAACGAAAGACTAACTTTTAGGTCAACTGCTGCTAATACCGGAGCCAGAATCAAACTGACTTTATCCCCCACGCCTCCTGTGCTGTGTTTATCTACCAGCTTGCCCGACCAGTCCGCTGGCCAGTTTAAGGTACTTCCCGAGTTCTTCATCTCACGCGTCAAGGTCACGGTCTCATTCTCTGAGAGATCGTTCAGGTAGACAGCCATCAGCAGGGCCCCTGCAACATATCGGTGACTTTGAGTCATTCATGATCACCGTGCTCATCCAGGCTAAGATCAGATCAACACACTGTCATCATCGCAACAATTGAGAGAGAGAGGGAGAGAGAGAGAGAGAGAGAGAGAGAGAGAGAGAGAGAGAGAGAGAGAGAGACGCACACGAGCACGCGCACACACAACACACACACACACGCACGCAAGCACGCACGCACCCACCCACCTACGCACGCACACACATACACAAACACACACACACACACACAAAACATTACATGGATTGATAGATACGTTTGTGTTAGAAAGTGATAAAATAGACTACAGCCTGAATAATGGGAGGACAGAAGTATTGGTAACATCAAAGAAAAGAAAAGTGCCTAAATGTCTGATACAAGTCCAGGTGTTTTTAAGACAAGTACAGAAATTAACAGAATCTAGGCACTTGATTAACATCCAGCGGATGATGTATCACAGAAATGAAGAACAAAATAGGACATCATGAAACCGCATTTAAAACATGGAGAACATTAATGCAAAAATTAGGAAAAGAATTTCTGCATTTTACTTACTGTCAGTTTTAACATGGGGTCGTCAATTCAGGACAGTTAGTAACAAGTCAGACAATTTCTTGAAACCTCAGAGATATGGTTTTACAAGAGAATTCCGTGGGCAAGCAAAAGAGCAACCCATATGTGTTTGAAAGAGGCGAGGGCTCGAAGACATTTGATCACAAACATGAGACGGAAACTGTTGTCATTTCTTGGCAGCTTTTTGTCACGGTTTGGAGGTGTGTCAAAGCACAAACTGATAGATGCTGTTGAAGATCAATCATTTAGGTAGGTGTACAGGTAGCTATTAGGTCCTTGGGTGTGAATGTCGTCATGTGGGTGTGTAAGTATATATGAAAGTATTGCAGTTGGTAGGATGTTATGCAAGTAATTAAAACGAGAAATCACCGATCTGACAATCTGCCATGGCGCCTGTAGTCACCGCCTGCACAAACAAGGCAACCTCATCGTCTGTCAGCTCATGGCCGTCCCGTTTCTTGGCAATCAGGTCTGGGAAAGAAATGGTGGACATCTTGTGTTTCTGTGTCTGAGAACAAATAGAGAGACGTCAGCGCATGACATACTTGAACATCGTCAGCGCCTGACATACTTGAACATTGGCACACTGGGACATTAACGTGGGGTGGAAAAAAAGGGGGGGGGGGTTGGAAAAAAAATGGGGGGGGGGGGGGGGGGTAATGTGTCTGAGTCCCCAGGCTCAGGTACTGTATTCCAAGATTATGATTATATTTATTGTGATTCAATACATTTTATTATTATTATTATTATTATTATTATTATTATTATTATTATTATTATTATTATTATTATTATTATTATGACAAATACATTTACTACTATACTTAGTACCCTTACAAAATTAATGTATGAGAGGAGGGGCTGTTCCCCGTAAAAAGAATTCGGGGGGGGGGGGGGGGGGGGAGGGGGGTAGCCATCATCGCATTTAACTCTTTACCTTTTCTACGCCACCTCACCATCACGTTTGCATTCCTCACAAAGTTCTCGGGTCTATCCTGTCCTTGAAATATTTCATCTCTAACTGAACACAATGCATCATCATATCATAGGTAGTTTGCAGAACGTCGCTCCCATCACGGTCTGTCTGAAATAATTGCGGTCTCTGGCCAGCTCTCCCTCCTCGTGCACTTTCATATCCAAGTAGTCACTCATAAATCGTAAACCAGTCGTGTGCTGGTCGTTGCCTGCCCCTCCTTCCTGGTGCCATGAACTCTGGTATTACTTGTTTCCAATTCGCCAATGTTTCCAATGCCAGTCTTCCCTGATGTACATCATTTTTAGAATGTGTTTCTTATTTTCTTTGTCCGTGGTATTCTGAGAATCTTTCTTTAGCATATCAGCCGAAAAGCTCCTATTTTCTTCTTTAAGGACCGGGAGACAGTCCACGACTCACATTCGAATGTTGAGCACAATGCAGTGCCACTTAAAATAACTTCCTTCTTTCTACGTTTTACTCTCTGCTGTCTTCCGCTGGCTTGAGAATCGGTTGTTCACACATGCCGTGATTGTAACTGACTCGCAGAGGATGTTGAGAAAGATGGAGACAGGCATGCTCCGTGCAGAGTGGAAAGCATCACTTCAGAGGTCCCTGGTAGTTAGCATCCTTTTGTATATTTTCTCCAGGTAATGCCGGTGTGTTAGTAAATGAGCAGGCAGACAGACTGACTGGCTCTACACCACTTAGTGGTGAATTGATGTATGATAATAGATATTGTGAGGGCCCTTTGGGAGCGAGTGAACAGTGCGGAGGCGCAGATGGATAATTACGGTCTGAGGAGAATGGCTCTGCGAGGAGTTACCAGGGGATCTGGCCGACGCTCAACACTCAGAGGAAGGTTGAGACGGATATACAATCAGACGGTTACTGGTACCATCGGAATTAGAACTCTTCGCTTGCTGCTGAAGATGGGAATTAAGCACTTATGGAAGATTCCCGAGTTGTGATGTGGAGTCTTAATTCAACATTCGACATGTTTTACTACAAAGTATGGTCTGAAATTGTGATAGTCTTCTCTCCAGTTGAACTATTTTGTTTCTTTCTATGACTGTCTTTGGCGTTTTAAAGGATGTTGTGTGGGGTTCCCTACCGGCTTCATGAGCACCCCCTGTCTCTCCACTCCCAAGGATACCAGGGCTGGTATCCACTAAAGGACCTGTTAAGTTCTTCTAGACATCATTCTGGTGTTTCTGATGTGATAGACGACGCTGTCCTTTTGTGGGAATAAGATCTTTTGTAGGGCTGATGTTGGGTCAGAGAAGGTGGAAGTACAGGTGAGCCAGATATTTCCAGCCTGCACAGATACAAGACAGGGTTGCTCTTTTGGCTTACCTTTTGGTTCCGAGCTTCCATTGTGTGCATGTTTGGAATCTATTGATCTAATCTTGCGTCTCTGAGTGTACTGCAGACTTGACAGAGGATAATACATGTCTCTTTAACGTCAAGTCAAACATACACACACACATATATACACACACATACACACACTGCGAGAGAGAGAACGAACGAACGAACGAACGAACGAACTAACAAAAGAGAGAGAGAGAGAGAGAGAGAGAGAGAGAGAGAGAGAGAGAGAGAGAGAGAGAGAGAGAGAAAGAGAGTTCTGTCGGTTACCAGTCTCCCAGTACACTGCAGAACTAACAGAGAAGAATGTCCCTCTTCACTACCAATGTAAACAAAAAAAAATGACAATACGTTTACACATTCACTAGTCTTAAAATCCTACCAGTTCTTTTCTGTTTAGCGACCACATCACACGCTATTTAGGGACAACCCATATTATAGGTAGGTTAGGGTAAGTAGAAGTCGCCATTTATTTAACACTAACCTTAACTCTAACTCTTTTATAATATGATATGTCCCTAAATCACCCGTGATGTGGTTGCTAAACAGAAAAGAACCACCCTACCTGTAACTGGTAACTTGTGACACTTGAAATGAGAAAGGAAAAACAATAACAGCTTTGTTTTTATTTGATAGAATATCAGACAGTCATTAGAAATAGCAGAGTCCGACAAAGCACAGTGCACGTACAAACAACACACGATAAGCGTGTCCGGCACTAATGAGTTTATTTATGGAACATCATGAACCAGGAATGCGCTTTGTGCACACTGTTCAGTGTTAAGCTGTCTGAGTTGTGTAAGTCTGTATGTGTATGGAATATCTAGTGAACTGGGTGCTGTAAGACCAAATGTGCATACAACAGCCTTAGATTACAGTCAAACAATGTGTATCTCTTTGATTCAACACAAGAGCGGTATTGACTTATTTAACCTAGTGCACCATCTTATAGGCAAGTGTCAGTGACTTAGTGAAGGCAGGCAGTTTCACAATCCTGACCTACCAGGGTCGAAGTCAATTGTACACAATTGTGTGGTAGATCGAGCTGCAATGAGCTGATAACGGTAAAAGAGTCATACCTTCAGGGATAAATGAAAATCTACGGAATGTAAAACTGCATAGTATAACCAGACAACAACCAACAAATGACGGGTAACACTTAATAAAGATGCAAATGAGCTAGCAATACTACAGCCAGTAAAATTTACAGATAACAGGAAATTATTGTTAGGGCGCGAGGCGGCGGTTAAATAAATATAGTCTGTTATCAGTCCTATTAATGATATTGTTTTAATCTTGGTAACAATTCGTCAACAACTTTTCGCGTACACAGTTAACAGTACACAAATGACAGCTGTCTGCTTCTGTCCTACCATCTGTCCGTTAGTTTAGCACGGACGAGGTGAAACAAGTTGCAAGCTCTTGACCGATTGTAAACTCTGTCCATGACTCAAAGGATGTGCTCACAGTCTAAATGTTGAATAATTAATCGTCGTCACAGCCCTCAAGACAACCCCATACCGCTCCGTCCCCATCTTCAGCAGCAAGCGAAGAGTTAAAATTACTATTGTACCAGTAACTGTCTGTATATCGTCTCGTCTTTCCCTGAGTGTCCAGCGTCGACAAGATCCTCTTGTAACTTCTGGCAGTGCCATTCTCCTCAGACCGTAATGATCTATTTGTTCCTCCGCACTGTTCACTCGCTTCCAAAGGGCCCTCACAACATCCAGCTTGTCATAAATTAATTCACCACCAAGTGGTGCAAAATAGGCCAGTCTTTCTGTCTGCTCATTTCCCCACACACCGTTTCACAACACACGAGCTTGCCACTTTGCACGGAGCATGTTTGTCTCCACTTTTCTCAGCATGCTCTGTAAGTCAGTTACAATGACAGCATGTGTGTACATCTGATTCTCAAGCCAGTGGAAGACAGCAGTGACTGCCTTCACCTCCATTCTCAAACTAGACGTTGTGACATCATATGCCAGGTTTTGCTGCACCACACAACGTCCATTCACCTTCGCTATGAACCCCCATGCACTTCGTCTGCCCCTCAACACAGTGCCATCTG